TTAAAGAGAACGAGGGATGTTGTTCCAAGGACGAAAGGAATAGTTAAATTAAGTTCTATTTTTCCACAACTTTGATACATGATCACACATAATTATCATGACCAACATTTAAAATTTTAATTTATTGTTAATTAAAATTTTTCGAAAGTTTTATTCTGTAAAGATGTATATTTTTTTGATTATTCAAGTGAATATTAATTTTATAAAAAAATTTCTTTTTGGCCCGACAGAAAGAGCACAAAATTTTCTACAAAAGGCACTCGGTCCCATCCTGGAGAAAAATCTTACCATTGAAAAATTATTTCCTATTAATACATTTACATATGGTATTTGTCGCCAAACATTGGCGACTTTTGGCCAATTTTTTACCCGATCATTTTTGGTTAATTTTTTCCTTGTTCACTGTTCATTTCTTGTCGTCCACTCTCCTTTTTTCAAACTTATTTGCCCGCCTAAATTCCTTTCATTTATTTTTGTGTCCGTTCGTACCAGCCACCCTCTGTTCTCTTACTTATTTTTTCCTATTGTTTTTGGACTTGGCTTCTCTGGCCGAGTCTTCTCTTCTGTTTATTTTTCTCTAGCTACTTCGCGCAATTTTTCAAACTTACATTTTTTCATTATTTTATTGCCAGACCCCGCCCTTATTTGCGCCTATTTAAGAGGTAGATCAGCCACCCAAATATCCTCATTCTTCTTCAACTTCAACAACCTTCAACTTAAATCGCGTGTGGCTGATCTGCTTCGCTGGCCCCTTGCTGGCCCTCAACTTGTTCGCCCTGATTGTTTATTGCTATTTGGAGAAATAAAATTGCTTTTTGTTGGACTTGTGTGTGTTTTTTTGGGTGGTTAAAGTGAACGTGCACCGTTCACTTCTGCTTTCTTGGTGAACCGCACTACGGTTCACCACTGCTATTCTTGGCTAGAGTTCACTGCCCTTCTCTTCCTTCGACTGTTGGCACTACCAACAGTCTGGTGCTAGTGCCACTATACACTAGCTGGTGCCACGACTCTTCCTCCTCCTCTCCAAACCATTTGTCGGGAACTCCCGACTCCCGACAAACTGGTGCCACGACCCGGGAAGACGGGGACGACGACAACAACTACCACTACTACTACCACAACAATTACCACCACTTCACCACAACAACAACTACTACTGCTGAATTGAGCTGAGCAACAGCCACAGCAACAATCACCACTACAACAACTTCAACTAGTGTGTGAGCGGAGCCACCGCCACATCACTCTACAACAACCACTCTATTTTTGTGTGTGAGCTGCACTACAGCCACCACCAAAACACTACTACACCAACTACTTCAACTTTGTGTGTGAGCGGAGCGACCGACACAACAACTTCAACTACTCGTTCTCTTTTTGGTTGGCTGAGAACAGTCACTACAACAACAACTACACTTGGTGGGAGGTGAACTACACTTGGTGGGAGGTGAACTACACCCACAATAATGTCAGCAGTGATCCGCCTTCAACTGGCAACCGTGTTGGCCACACTCAAGGACAAAGGACTTGCTGTTTTGGCCGCGTTAAATGCCAACAACACAACTGTGGAAGAAGATGATCGTCTAGAAGTGGAAGCGTTCCAACTCGAACAAGCTGCTGGAAGGGCTCAAGCACTGATGGATAAATGGTCAGACTTCATTGCCCGACTCATGCCAACGGAACAACAAGACGAAATGGACATTCTTCAAGCCTTCCCGCCGTCGAGAGGCGAAGTAAGAGAGGATGATGAACTCACCGCAGTGGCGCAAATTGAGCGGAGTTTGGAACTGGTGGTCCTGGTCAACGTATGCCTGCAGCAACGAAGAAACGGCGGTCGTGGTTCAGTCTCCTCTCAACGATCTGAGAAGTCCGCTAGAGTGATTGAGGACCAAACTGGTAATGCGCGACGACAGACGCAACACCCAATAGCGAATGGTCAACATGGTTACTCACCTGAACATCCTGATGGTTTTACACGACGTCCAACTCAAACGCGCATTAATGATCACCAAGCTAGAACTGGCAATGGAACAAGTGCCCATCACACCACCTCTGTTAGCCAGGCTGGATTTTCACCATACCAACAACAAGGAACATACCATGGTACACCACTCTACTCAACCTTCAGGCCATTTCGACTAGAACCGATGAAATTTGCTGGTGACCCTAAAGAATGGACTGCCTTTTGGATGGCTTTTGACCGTGCTGTCAACAGTCAACCTCTTCCACCGTTTGAGAAACACCTATGTTTATTGCAAAGTCTGGTACCTGGCTCTGCGGCGCACCGTGCAATTGATGGTTACCCACCGTCGGATGAGAACTACCCGATGGTGGTCAGCATACTCCGACACCAATTTGGAGATGTAAAAGCCCTACGCGAAGTCTTAATTGCTGAGTTGTTACACCTGCCGTTGGCCAACAATTCACTGTTCTCTATGCGCAATCTCCATGAACATGTTGAACGAATATGCCTGCAGCTCGAATCACCAGAGGGCTCAAACTCAATTCAGGATGAAATAGTGTGTGGCATCATCCGGTCAAAGCTACCACCTGAAGCTCTGGAGACTCTGATTGGCTGGGAAGAAGACGAAAATGCTGAATGGACTCTGGCTGAACTCCGCAAGGGACTTGGACGTCTGGTTCAACTCAAAGAGCGATTGGAGCTCACCATCACCACTCTTCGTCCAAACAAGTTGGAACAACCAACCATGCTTGAGGAGCAACCTCACTACAGCCAGCCGACTGAACGAAGTGATCACCATGAGCCAGCCGACGTCTCTCGTGCATTTATGGCTACGCAATCAACTGGCCCAATTGAAGCTCAGCATGCACTACATGCTCGTCCAACGCAATCACCAAACCAGCCTGTCGAACATCATGCACTACCTGGTCGTCCACCACAATCACCAGTTGAGGAATATGGTTGTTCACTGTGCCACACTGGGCCAACACACAAGCCAAGCCGTTGTCCAATGTTCAACACACGCCAGAGACGCAAAGCTCGTCTTCTTGACCAAGGCCGATGCCTCAACTGCCTATATGATGGCCACCTGCTCAACAAGTGTCGTGCTGCCAACAAGTGCCGTAGATGTGGAGGCCGACACCACTTCATGCTATGTGTACAACGTCAAAACAAAAAGCGTGTGTACTACCCAACTGGTCAACATGTTGGACCATTTAACTCAAACTGGAGGCAACCCCAATCTGAAAAGCGTGTGTACTATCGGACTGGCCTCCACAAAGGATCATCCGAATCAAATTGGAGAGTGCCTACATCAATGCAACCTGAATTGACCTACTCTGGAATGGTCTTCACTAGCCCACTCAACGACTCTAAAGCGGACTCCAAGTCGTTAACCAGCTCAACTGTGCACAACAGAAGAACCAACCGTCAACTTCGACGCAAAGTGTGGTTAAATTCTAAGCTAAAAGCCAACCTGCTCAAATCTAAAAATGGTCAAGAGACTCCTCCAACTGACAATGGGCCTAATAGTTTCAACCGTTCCAATCGTGTTTGTTCAATATGCTCGTGGCGCATCAACAAAATCAACGCTGGCTTTACTGCCCCCTTCAAATGCTCATCTATGCATTTTCTGTTGATGCTGGCCCTTCCAATGCTTGTTGGTATTGCTAGTTGGTGTACACAGCAAGTTGCTCAAAATGCTCAACTAAAGCTTTTGCGATCAATAATGACTTCCGAGGATGGAACCTCGTCATCTGCCACTGATCAAACGTCTACGAGCTTTTCTAACGCTGGTAAATTTTTGTGTGTTACCCAAGCTGCGACTACCGCGACTGTCACGTGTAGAATTACCGCGGCTGCTACTGAAGGAATTACCGAGGCTGCTACTGAACAAATAACTAGAAGTTGTTCTACCGCTGCAAAAATAAATGTGTGTGCTAACCGAGTGGGAATTATCCAGGCTGCCGCAACCAAAACAAACAAAAATCTATTATCTGAGTGCACATTACGACGTCGACCATGGAAAAGTTGTTCATCACGACAAGGACACCCACAAGAAAGCCAGGTCGTGGAGTGCCGCCCCTCACCAAAAGCTCTCAAAAGGGGAAATCACGAAAGGGCACTCCACCACCATCATCATTGCTCTGGACCACACCATGCACCCACGCAATGTGCTGTCAACCCGTCTTCGGCACTGAAGTAGAATCGCACTGTGGCTCTCGAATATGGCAGATGAAAGATAACTAAGAATTTTTTGTGATTTTTGTCGGGCGGGGGGAGTGTCGCCAAACATTGGCGACTTTTGGCCAATTTTTTACCCGATCATTTTTGGTTAATTTTTTCCTTGTTCACTGTTCATTTCTTGTCGTCCACTCTCCTTTTTTCAAACTTATTTGCCCGCCTAAATTCCTTTCATTTATTTTTGTGTCCGTTCGTACCAGCCACCCTCTGTTCTCTTACTTATTTTTTCCTATTGTTTTTGGACTTGGCTTCTCTGGCCGAGTCTTCTCTTCTGTTTATTTTTCTCTAGCTACTTCGCGCAATTTTTCAAACTTACATTTTTTCATTATTTTATTGCCAGACCCCGCCCTTATTTGCGCCTATTTAAGAGGTAGATCAGCCACCCAAATATCCTCATTCTTCTTCAACTTCAACAACCTTCAACTTAAATCGCGTGTGGCTGATCTGCTTCGCTGGCCCCTTGCTGGCCCTCAACTTGTTCGCCCTGATTGTTTATTGCTATTTGGAGAAATAAAATTGCTTTTTGTTGGACTTGTGTGTGTTTTTTTGGGTGGTTAAAGTGAACGTGCACCGTTCACTTCTGCTTTCTTGGTGAACCGCACTACGGTTCACCACTGCTATTCTTGGCTAGAGTTCACTGCCCTTCTCTTCCTTCGACTGTTGGCACTACCAACAGTCTGGTGCTAGTGCCACTATACACTAGCTGGTGCCACGACTCTTCCTCCTCCTCTCCAAACCATTTGTCGGGAACTCCCGACTCCCGACAGTATTAATATTTTATCAAAAATTTATTTATTTAACATCCAATCTTAATCTCAATATTATCAATTAGTCTAGTTCCCCCAACAATGGCAGCAATAAGTAAAATAGCTTCTCCTTTAAATCCATCCTCCTCTATTTGTTTGAATGTTTTAGCTTCCACAACAACTAAATAATCCAAAATTATTTTTTTCTGATTATTATTTTCTTTAAAATAAATTTTCATTTCTTTCGAAATTTTTGTTGATTTTGACCCCTTTTTCGCTTCTTTTAATCCAGTATTTAAAGTTTTGAATAAAATTAAGGAAAGTTTTCTGTCTTCAAAATTTAAATATTTATTTCTGCTTGAATATGCTAGTCCGTCTGGTTCTCGTTGTGTTTCTATGGAAATTATTTGTACAGGGAAATTGAGTGAAGTAACCATTTGTTGTATAATAAATAGCTGAAAACTTTAAGTTAGAAGTTGTAAGAAAAAAACTGAATGTAGTTTGAGAAAAAACAGAAAATCAGACAATTAGAACAAAAATTAGACATGCCCTAATAATATCAGAATATAATCAATATAAAAGCCCTAATAATATCAGAATAAACATATGATAAAACTAAAAAGACAACAGCCCGAAAAGTAAAAGTAGAGGGATGTAGATGTTTTCTATAAGTCCTCTACTTCTACCCGAAAAGTATTGCAATTAGAGGAATTAGAACCGAAATTAGACTGTCCTAATAAAATAGAATAATAGTCAAAAAATCAGTATATACTGCTGAGAATAATGATTATAAAAGAATAATATCAGTATATAATTCAACATAAGATAAAAATTATAAGAAAACCAGCTCGAAAATTAGAGGAATCAGAAGAAAATAGAAAATTACTGGCATAAAAGAATAATATTCAAAAGAAAATCAGAAAAAATCAGAGTAAAAATTCAAAAAAATCAGAATAAAATCTATGAAAGAACCACAACAAAATTCAGAATATTCCCTTTATTTCCCCCACCTGTTGCGCATCCTTCTTCCCAAACAAAGCAACATCTGGCTGTATAATATTAAATAATTTAGCTACTATAGTCAAAACACCATCAAAATAATTAGGCCTCGTTTTCCCTTCCAAAACTTTACTAACTGGCCCAGCATCCATTTTAATTAATTCTTCTTTACCAATAATATTTTTAATTTCTGGAGTAAAAACACAATCAGCCAATTTTTTTAATTTTTCCAAATCTTCTTTTAAATTTCTTGGATAACGATCAAAATCTTCATTTGGTCCAAATTGTAAGGGATTAACAAAAATAGAGACAACAACTAAAGTATTTTTTGATGGTTGTTGTTTTGCTTGTCTAATTAAATTTAAATGTCCATTATGCAAGGCACCCATTGTTGGGACAAAACTAACACTTTAAAAAATTATTTGAAAGATTAATTTTGATAGAAGGGGGGGGGGGATTGGTAGGGGGTGACTATTTTTCAATTGTAGATTTTTCTATTACAATTTGATTCGGATATAGTATACCGGAGGCAAAATTCCATACAAAACACATACCATTCGATTCGTCTCGGCGAGCTGAGCCGAGTGGTACCACTCTCTATTCACTGAAATGACTGTGAACCGAGATATACTAACACTTTAGATAATTATTTGAAAGATAAATTTTGATAGAAAGGAGGGTGGGGGTGAGGTTTAGTGTAGAGGAAGGATTTTCCCTTACAGTTTGATTCTCCCAGTTTTTTATTCTCCGTTCAAATATCATGACATCGACAACCTGTCCCAAGAAGTTAAAAATTGGTCATGTTTCTTAAGAGATCAAGACTTTATACTCTGATCTATAGTATTAACAACAAGAATTGATTTAATCAGAATTGGACTAGTTTGTAAAGCGGAAAATTAGGAGAATAACACTTTTTAAATCATAAACTAACCATAATTCCTGATCATTCCTTATTGCCTCACACCTTTTCTTTCTAATAAATAACCGTATTTCCTCAATGGAACTAACAACCTTCATTTAGAGCTAATTTATATTTGAACAAATTAAATAATAATAATTTAAATAAAATATTAAAATAATTTTTTTACTTTTCCTAACTTTAAATTTTTATTTTATAAGAACGTCGAGAAAAATTGATTTATCAATTAATTTTATAGAATAAAATTATTATTATAAGCAAACAATTTAATAACATCGTTATCAAAGTGTCAGAAAAACAACGACAAAATTCTATTAAAAGAGAAATTCGATGAGGTGTTGTTGGTCCTTTTTTTCAAAATTTTTTGTTTAAAAATTAATTTTTGGCTTCATTTGATAAAGTTGTAAAGAGTAAATTCGTATTTTGTGTTGTTATAACGAGAGGTATTTTGGGAGATAAGATATGAGTCCATGGGGGTTATGCTGGGTGTCTATGGGGTGTTTGTTTTAGATATTTGATTGATGCGTTTTGAAAAAAATCAAATTTTTTTAAAATATTTTCAAATATCAAATAATTTGATCAAATATTTGTTTGATGAGGTCAAATAAAATCAAATATTATATCAATTACATACATATCAAAAAGCCTCCAACAAGTAAAATAAGGATTGGAAAAGTTTTATTTAAGGACACACAGAAAGGCCTGTAAAAATGAAGAAGCATCCTCATAAGGAAGTATCCTCAGTGTATATTAGTTTTTTAACCCACTTCAATTTTAACGCTTCACCTTAAATCCTCTTCTGGATAGTTTATCATTCTCCTTCCTTTTAATCCTCCTCTCCCTACAACAATTCATTAAATTTTTAAATTTCCTTTTTTTTAAAATAACAAATTTCCTAATATTAAAAAAACATTTCCCATGCACTTTTATTCTCATAGACTTTTCTTCATTTTTTTGATTCTCAATTCTCATAAATAATATTTTTTAATTAAGATTTATCCATTACTTACTCATTAAGTCACTTATATATACATTTTGTTGGAAAATAAAATACACTATCCTTTCTAGATTTTGAAAATTCGCTTTGATTTGTTTAAAGAATTCTGTGATTATTTTTTAACCATTCTTGATCCGTTTCCTACAAGAAAATTATCATGAAGTCAATGGTATCGGAATTATTTTAAACCATATTAGTTTTAGGCTGGCGTGAGATATAAAAACCATAGCCTTTTTTATTCTTAATCACTGGATGTTACGCTGGAGCAGCTTTGTTCCATCCAAATCCAACTATGGAATTGGATTTGGGTTGAGTAATATAGATAAGTAATAAAGAACGGTCTGAAATGACTGGCTCAGGATCATAAAAATTACAATACTAGCGATATGAGTTAATCAAAAGTGCTGTGGTATTGTGCATGTGTATTATTCGAACACATTTAATATACAAAAATTTAAGGAATTTCTTCATTAAAAATTTTCCCGATGAATAGGGGGTGACTGAACAGGGGTGAACTTACAGAGAGCTTATAATTTAATTACTTTTTGAAGAAAGATTTGCCAGCAATAATTATAACTCTTCTTATAATCCTCCCATTCATTATAATTTTTATTTGTGGATTTAAAATGGTTTATTATGTTAATTTACATACTGGATTTGATCAAAATATGAAGAGATTACTTAAACAATTGACAAAAACTTTGATTATTTTGGTATATTTATACAATTTATTTTATTTGAATTTAAATTTCAGGCAATTATTCCATTTATTAATCAAATTTTGACCTTATTAACTATATTCTTTACATTCAACAATGAAACAAATGGTTTGAATAATGAGAATATCAAAAATATTCTCTATATATTTCTTGTAATTTTCAATCATTTTATGCCTGTTTTTAACCCAATTGTTTGTATAATAACTAATAAGCCATACAAAGAAGCTGTTTTAAATCGTTTAAAAATACACCCACAATAATTACTGTATTATATGTTAAGAAGACTGTTAATGTCTAACATAATCAGAATTATTTAAAAGAAGCGAGATGACAATTTTGATAAAAATTGTGACAATATTTCTCGTTATTTTTTTGTAATTAATCCACTTTTTCTGTCTTATATTGTATCTAGGCTCTTAAAAGTACTTTTTACGTAAACAAAATTATTTCATGTAATGATATCTCACGATTTTTATTAAAAAAACTTTTCTCGAAAAATTGTATTTTTAAAAGATATTAGTGCGAAACATTTTTTTATAAAATTTTTACATTAATTTTACATTATTTTAATATAATTAATTTAAAAATTAAAATAAATTAAGAAATGTCCAATTTACTTGATATTTTATTTAAATTTGATTAATGGACAAGTTTATTCTTGGTTATCCTCTAAACATTATTCTGATTATTTTAATTATTTTTAAAACTCCAAAAGAAATGAAAACACACAGTCGAATTCTGATACAAAATTGTGTTTTGGATATTTTAATGTTAACTGTTCAAATGTTTGCACAGATGGTAAAACTTTTAGAAAAACCGGAATTAAATTCGAACAAAATTAAATTCTTTTCTGGGAGAAAATCCTAATAAATCAGAATCATTTCCGGAAGGTTCTAGATAATATTACTTTCCGTCAGGGAAAGATTGAGCGATTAAAAAGGATCTCATATTCTTCCAAATTAAATAATATCAAGTTTTTATAAGCTCATATCAAAATTCATACTCGCACTGTTCTTTAGTGCGAGGTACGGGGACAGGTTTATACCAGGAATCATGCCGTCCCGATTTCCCGAAATTGGGAATTTCATTTTTTGTCGGCGGGATCCCTGGTGTGTATACCTCAAGTTACGGCGAGGCCAAGATACTGCAGAGTATATCGTGTCGATGCACCTCGACGAGCTGAATCAAATCTTTTCAAGTCTTCCAGATTCTAAATTTTGAGTAAGATTATAGCTCTGCTGTATAGACACTGGTGATATCCCGTTCAAGAATTCTTAATCTTATTTAATCCCACCCTTCTAAAAGTCCCATCGAGCAGATGTAACTTTTTGGGAGTGGGATAACTACTAAAGATACATATAAACCAGAATTAATTAAAACAGAAAAGTTAGAACTTAATGATTAAAATAAAATTTTTTTATCAAGTTTTATATACTTGACGACAATGGAAATTCAGTCTTTATTTTCACTGATGGCATTTTCTTTGAATTTATGAAGAATAATTTTAATAAAATTATTTGCTTAAGTTATCAATATATTGCTGGCTTTTTTTACATTATAAATTTGTATGGATTGTGTGCCCAATTTGTTTTCAGATATTTAGTTTTGAACAGGTAAAAGACAATTAATTTTAATAAAAATTAATTTAAAAAATTAACAGAAACATGAAAATTAACTTTAAACGTTATTTAATGTATATATTTTCGATTGTTTTGATTTCTTGTCTGTTACATAATCTGAGTATTTTCTTTACGATATATATTGATGAAGGTATTAAACAGTTTGATAAAGAATATTTAAACAAAACCTTTCCTTTTGTCATTGTGAAATTCGAGGTAGTAAACTTTTAGAATTGAGAATTATTGGTACTTTTCCGTTATGCCACCTCCTCCTAAATTAATGTTTTAAATGTAATATATAGGGTAATAAAAAGTTCTGAGTCGAATGCTACTACTCTTTTTTCCAGGAAATGTCTGTGAGATGAGGGCTCGAAATTGACAGGAAATGTCTTTGAGATGAGGGCTCGAAATGTCAAAAACCATAAGGGAGTAAGCTCATTTTTGGAGTAAAAAATTCTAATATACAGTTAAACGCTCATTCGTACAGTTAAACGCTCTCTATCCACAGACATCTCCTGGAAAAAAGAGTGGTACTCAGCACCTTTTATTACCCTATATTTGACATTTTGAACATTAATTTAGGGGGAGGTGGCATAACGGAAAAGTACCGATTATTTCTATAAAGTTATTTATTTTTTGTAGCAAGGGGTTCCTTCACTAATTACAACTCTCCTTATGATAATCTCTCATTTAATAATTATTATTTGTGGAGTTAAAATGTTTTATTATGTTAATTTACATACTGGATTTGATCAAAATATGAAAAGATTACTTAAACAATTGACAAAAACTTTGATCATTTTGGTGAATTATTTAATTTTGAATATTAATTTTATTTAAATTTTAGGTAATTATTCCGATTATTAATCAATTTCTAACTATATTAATTATTTTTTCTAATTTCAATAATATTAAACAATCACCAGAAGAGACCAATACAATTCTAATTTATAACCACAAATTAATTATCTATATATTTCTTTCAAGTTTCACTCATTTTACACCTGTTTTTAACCCTATTGTTTGTATAATAACTAATAAGCCGTACAAAGAAGCTGTTTTAAATCGTTTAAGAATTCATCCACAATAATTCATCCACAATTTTCTTTTTTGTATTTTTTGACTGATTTAATAAATTTATTATACTGTATTACCTCTAATGGAATTCTCCCTCCATTTGAATGATCCCCTTTAATAAAAGCTAATTGCAAAGTAATTGAAAAATAGAATGCCCAAGACAAGAGGTAATACAGTGATTATTTTAGAACATTAAATTAATTCATACATATGTATATAATAATTCTATAGATAAAGTTGCTATTTTTTGTTAGTTAAATGATCGAAAATAAAATAAAAAATGAAATCTTATTCTAAAAACTCTTATTTAGATGTTAAAAATTATTTCAATAGAGTTGCTGGCCTGGTTCGGTATGATAGATCGTATCGAGCATCGAATTCGATAATAATGAGTCGATAATAATGAGTTTTTTCCTTGCAAGGCCAATGTACTGTCAAGTAGGGTTGGCGGTTCCGGATATCCAGAACTTTCACACGAACCACCATACTTACTGTCGAGCACCAACCCCGTTAAAAATTTGCTCGCGACGTTTCTTAGAAATTTGTTAGAAAATTTAAAAAAACAAAATTTTCCCAAGAATATTTTTTGTATTTTAAAAGGTTATTAATGTGAAAATTTTTAATAAAAATTTTTTAAATTAATTAATTTTCAAAAAATATTAGATCGTATATTTTATTCATCCAACTTCTACTTCCACCCTATGAACAATAGATTGGCCACCTCCATTTGAATGTCCCTTTAATTGAATGGCCCTTTTTTGGAGGTATCGAAAAATAGAACGGCGGCCATTCTATTAGAATAAATACGGTAATCAGAATTATTTAAAAAAGCTAGAGGAAAATTTTAATAGAAATTGCAACAATATTTTTCGTATTTTTTGTAATTATTCCCTTTTTTTGTTTATATTGTATCTTGGCTCTTAAAAGTACGTACTTTTTAAGTAAACAAAACTATTTCATGTCAAGATATCTCACGATTTTTATTAAAAAACTTTTCTCGAAAAATTGTATTTTTAAAAGTTATTAGTGCGAAACATTTTTAATAAAATTTTTACATTAATTTTACTTTAACTATGAAACTTTAAAAATTAAAATAAATAAAAGAATGTCAAATTTACTTGATATTTTATTTAAATTTGATTATTGGACAAGGTATTGTGCCGTCTGAGAAGCCGGTAATCGAAAGTTATTGTGGGGTATTCTAATTTCTGATACTACGAGTATTTTTATTATACATGAGGACACAAAAGTTTAAGTTGAATATATCCGAGTCAACGAGGTATTATGCCGTACCCTTTTATGCAACTCTGTTTCTATGTTAACCAACACAGTCGTTGAATATCTCACGATTTTAATTAAAATAAAAAATTAACTCAAAAAAGTTTTTGAATTTTTAAAATAAATATTAATGTAAATATTTACAAATATTTTGTTAATTAATTTATATATATATATAATTAAATTAATTTTATTTTATTTAGGTATTTTTTACTATAATTAATTTGAAAATTAGAATAAAAAAAATAATGTCCAATTTACTTGATATTTTATTTAAATTTGATTTTTGGGCAAGTTTATTACTTGGTTATCCTCTAAATATTATTTTATTTTATATAGAATTTTATTTTAATAAATGTTTTTATATTTTTAATGTTTTTATTGTTTTTGTTTACTGATTCTCCCAGCCGCCGATTAACCTTTTGCACTAGCTAAAGGAGAGAAATAGCTATAGCCCAGCTGCTTTACTATATAATTTTCACGATGCAAATACGAGAATCTAAGAGTAGGATAGACTAGTAATGTTCGAGAAGCTTGGTTTCGGTTCCCGAGTTTGGAACCGATTAAGGTGGATATCGAGAGATTTAGAGGGGAAGGTATATTGTAATTTCGAAGATTCAAGGGATTTTGGTGGACTATGAAGGATATTAAAGGATTTTTGTGGATTAGGAGGGATATCATCACACCCACTCCCGAACGTTCGGGTACAACCCTAATTTTTAGATCCTTCTTTATGGTTAAACATGTCAGCCATGATATTTCATTCATATTTTGTCCTATTCAAACGCTTTCATAATATTAATATTTAATATCCATTTTCATTTATCCTCCTAAAAATGTGAGGAAGCTTGTTTACACATTCAACACTTGGCGCAATCAGTGTTAAACTCGCTTTGATCAAATTCCTTGCCATTTCTACTCGTGACTGGAAATTAAATTTTTTTGGTACTATACCTGTGTAGAGAGGTATTGTGCCGTACCTGGCAACTCTGTTTCTATGTTAACCAACAGCCCCCGAATCAAATATCTCACGAATTTAATTAAAATAAAAAAAATTTTCTCAAAAATGTTTTTTGTATTTTTAAAATAAATATTAATGTAAATATTTACACTTATTTTAATAAAAAGTTCACATTAAATTTTACTTTATTTTAGTATACTAATTTTAAAAATTGAAATAAATATGTCAGTTTTACTTGATATTTTATTTAAATTTGATTATTGGGGCAGTTTATTACTTGGTTATCCTCTAAACATTATTCTGATTATTTTAATTATTTTTAAAACACCAGACGAAATGAAAACACACAGCAGAATTCTGATACAAAATTGTGTTTTGGATATTCTAGTATTAACATTTCAAATGTTTATTCAAGTGGTAAAACTTTTAAGAAAAACCAGAAAACTTAAAGATAAACCAAAATTAAATTTGAACAAAATTATATGCTGAAAGTAAAATTAGAACTCCGGAACTTACAAGAAAATAGACCTAAAATGATAATCGTAACAAATCAAAACTTAATAAAAAATTTAAGTTTTGTATAACTAACAGTAATGGAGATACGATCCTTATTTTTATTGACGGCATTCTCATCGGATTTATCAAAAATAATTTCAACAAAATTACTTCACTAATCGTGCTGGCTATCTTTCAGTTTTTTTTCATTATAAATTTGTATGGATTGTGTGCCCAATTTGTTTATAGATATTTAATTTTGAACAGGTAAATGAAACAAAATCTTCTCTGAATAAATATGTATTAGAGTTCCAATGGAAGTTCCGGTTCTGGGATCCGGAACTTCCGGTTCCGGTTTTGGACAAAATTTCGGTTCCGGCGAAACACTAATATGTATTCAAATCATTGATATAAAAATAAATTTATAGAAACATGAAACCAAAATTTCGACGTTATTTGTATATGTTTTTGAGTGTGTTACTTGTTGGGTTGATTTATAATCTGATTTTTATTATTTCTGCCACATTTGATGGAGGTATTAAAATGTTTGATGAATTTAATAGAACAATGCCGTTTATTATCATGAAGTCAATGGTATCGGAATTATTTTAAACCATATTAGTGTTAGGCTGGCGTGAGATATAAAAGCCATAGCCTTTTTTATTCTTAATCACTGGATGTTACCCTGGAGCAGCTCTGTTCCATCCAAATCCAACTATGGAATTGGATTTGGGTTGAGTAATATAGATAAGTAATAAAGAACGGTCTGAAATGACTGGCTCAGGATCATAAAAATTACAATACTAGCGATATGTGTTAATCAAAAGTGCTGTGGTATTGTGCATGTGTATTATTCGAACACATTTAATATACAAAAATTTAAGGAATTTCTTCATTAAAAATTTTCCCGATGAATAGGGGGTGACTGAACAGGGGTGAACTTACAGAGAGCTTATAATTTAATTACTTTTTGAAGAAAGATTTGCCAGCAATAATTATAACTCTTCTTATAATCCTCCCATTCATTATAATTTTTATTTGTGGATTTAAAATGGTTTATTATGTTAATTTACATACTGGATTTGATCAAAATATGAAGAGATTACTTAAACAATTGACAAAAACTTTGATTATTTTGGTATATTTATACAATTTATTTTATTTGAATTTAAATTTCAGGCAATTATTCCATTTATTAATCAAATTTTGACCTTATTAACTATATTCTTTACATTCAACAATGAAACAAATGGTTCGAATAATGAGAATATCAAAAATATTCTCTATATATTTCTTGTAATTTTCAATCATTTTATGCCTGTTTTTAACCCAATTGTTTGTATAATAACTAATAAGCCATACAAAGAAGCTGTTTTAAATCGTTTAAAAATACACCCACAATAATTACTGTATTATATGTTAAGAAGACTGTTAATGTCTAACATAATCAGAATTATTTAAAAGAAGCGGGATGACAATTTTGATAAAAATTGTGACGATATTTCTCGTTATTTTTTTTGTAATTATTCCCATTTTCTGTCTTATATTGTATCTAGGCTCTTAAAAGTACTTTTTACGTAAACAAAATTATTTCATGTAAAGATATCTCACGATTTTTATTAAAAAAACTTTTCTCGAAAAATTGTATTTTTAAAAGTTATTAGTGCGAAACATTTTTAATAAAAATTTTACATTAATTTTACTTTAACTATGAAACTTTAAAAATTAAAATAAATAAAAGAATGTCAAATTTACTTGATATTTTATTTAAATTTGATTATTGGACAAGGTATTGTGCCGTCTAAGAAGCCGGTAATCGGAAGTTATTGCCGTACCCTTTTATGCAACTCTGTTTCTATGTTAACCGACAAAGTCGTTGAATATCTCACGATTTTAATTAACATTTAAAAAATTTTCTTAAAATTTATTTTGTATTTTTAAAATAATATTTGAATGTAAATATTTACAACTATTTTAATAAAAATTTTTTTTAATTAATTTTACTTTGTTTAACTATAAAACTTTGAAATTAAGAAATAAAATAATGTCCAATTTACTTGATTTTATATTTAAATTTGATTATTGGACAAGTTTATTACTTGGTTATCCTCTAAACATTATTCTGATTATTTTAATTATTTTTAAAACACCAAAAGAAATGAAAACACACAGCAGAATTCTGATACAAAATTGTGTTTTGGATATTTTATTCTTAACATCTGTAATGTTTGCGCAAATGGTAAAACTTTTAGAAAAACCGGAATTAAATTCGAACAAAA